AGATCATCCCATATTGGAAACTTGTTCAGACCCGACAATTTCATCTTTGGCCAGAGCTCGGCCGGTAATGTCTGGGCTAAGGGTCACTACACTGAAGGTGCCGAACTTGTGGATTCGGTGTTGGAAGTGGTGAGAAGAGAAGCTGAAGGTTGTGACTCTTTACAAGGTTTCCAAATTTCCCACTCATTGGGTGGAGGTACCGGTTCTGGTATGGGTACTTTGTTGATTTCCAAAATCAGAGAAGAATTCCCCGATCGTATGATGGCAACTTTCTCCGTTGTCCCCTCTCCTAAATTGTCCGATACCGTGATTGAGCCATATAATGCTACTTTGTCCGTGCATCAATTAATTGAAAACTCCGACGAAACCTTCTGTATCGATAACGAAGCCTTATACAACATTTGTCAAAAAACTTTGAAAATGGACCAACCAGGCTACAACGAATTGAATAATTTGGTGTCGTCTGTGATGTCTGGTGTTACCACATCTTTGCGTTTCCCGGGCCAATTGAACTCCGATTTAAGAAAGTTGGCCGTCAACTTGGTTCCTTTCCCAAGATTACACTTCTTTATGGTTGGCTACGCACCATTGACATCTATCGGTTCCAAATCTTTCAGATCTATTAGTGTTCCTGAGTTGACACAACAAATGTTCGATGCTAATAATATGATGGCCGCTTCTGACCCTAGAAATGGTCGTTACTTAACAGTGGCTGCTTTCTTTAGAGGTAAAGTGTCGGTCAAGGAAGTAGATGATGAGATGTATAAAGTCCAAACCAAGAACTCGGCCTATTTCGTGGAGTGGATTCCAAACAATGTGCAAACTGCAGTTTGTTCGGTACCACCTAAAGATTTAGATATGGCTGCAACTTTCGTTGGTAACTCCACATCCATTCAAGGACTTTTCAAGAGAGTGGGTGATCAGTTCAGTGCGATGTTTAGAAGAAAGGCTTTCTTGCACTGGTATACATCCGAAGGTATGGATGAAATGGAATTTACTGAAGCCGAATCGAACATGAACGATTTGGTGAGCGAATACCAACAATACCAAGATGCGGGTATTGACGAAGAGGAAATTGACGAGTACGCTGATGAAGCTCCTTTGGAGGAACCAATGGAGTAAGGTTGATGAATGAGCATATTTTGGTATAAATGCTTCAAATGGTGAATGGTAGATATAGCTCCTCGTACACCAGTGTCCTTCTTTTGACACAATACCCGTGATTGTCTATTTCTGTCTCTAATTCTGATTAATGGATTTATTATAAAACTCTGGTGTAGTTGTTGTATTGACTACCATATATTCGTATATGACTTTGATCTAAGTGGCCGGCACAAGTCGGCGAATGACTTTCATGTGTTCTTGTTTTCATTACTTTAGTTTCCCCTTAAGAAATTCTTGACAAAGTCGTTTTTGTCTCCAAATTGAGTGTCACCTTGGTTTTCAAAGTACTTCATGACATGACATTGTTGCTTCCAGAAGTTGATCAACTCCTGAAATTCCATTTGACCTTTCATATACAACACATTGGATATTTCTAAGTCCTTTACAAATCTTTGTCTCTCGAACTCTTGTCTAATTTTGGTCTTAACATTGGAAACTGGCATGTCCAATTCGTAAATATTAGACATTTCCCTTGAATATCTCATGTACTTTCTGTATAAATGCAAAACACGCTTTCTCATCTCAGCACTCGATGCTGAACGACGAGTGGTCTCAGCAAACTCGGTTGCCAAAGTCATTTTTGGAGGTGGTTCTTGTGTTGTAATAAAAACGATCGTGGTTGGTCGCACCAATGCCGGGTAACGACCTTGTTGAAGTAGATTGTGGTTTTGTGCAGGTCCAACGGCTGCTACTTTAGTGTCTTCAAGATAGTTTGAAGTAAAGTACCTTTTGGTTCCAAAAGCTTGATAAACCGACAGAGCTCGAAGCACCAGTCCCATTTGTTTGCGTCGGAGAGTACTTTGATGATTTTTAAGATAATTTCCTTGTCGTTTGCATCTAGCTTGTGAGTCGCGGCATTGACTTCGTCTTCCTCTCGTTTGTAGTTCAAATAGACGTTCAAGTAATTATAGCATAGCTCAACATTGTCGTTTGCTATGAGCCTCTTCATGAAAATAATGGGGGTTGTGTCGAGTGTTTTGAAGAACAAATCCCAATATTCAACCTCTATCTTTCTCAAACAATTGACGTAGATCGACTCTGAATCGTCCAAAGTTTCGATTACTGCAACAACCCTTCTCAAAAACTCCTCGTTTTGGTCAAACGTTAGGTACTTGAATAGCAAGAGCTCCAAACAGTAATCAAAGTTCTCGTATTGCTGAAACATCTTGCAGATAAGAGCTGTCAGCTGATGCTGAACAACTTCCTTTTCGATAAAATCATTGAGAACAAGCTGGCGATTAGTTCTCGTTTGAAGGAAGAGGTGGCTCTGCCGAGAAAACAAGTCTGTTCGCAAACCAATCAAGTCTATGGATTTGAGACCGTCAAGTTTATCATTAATTACCTCCTCAATCGTTATCGGCATGAAAGAATCTGCTTTCAAGCGAATAGCTTCAGGTGCCATGGATCCAGGACCATTTGCAATGTCCAGTTCAACACCCAAATCAACATCGCCTATTCCAGAATCAACAAGTCGCTTGAGGTCATAGATGAACACATGACTACAGTTCAACATAGTGACATATTTCACGGCATCTTGACCGAAGCCTAGCGTCTTAAACTTGAAAAAGGAAATGGTATCATGAACTTGAACAAGTTCATACATGTGAGCTGGACGCAAAACATCAATGGGAGATGGATCCGTAGGCTGCTCAACTGTTGAAACACTTCTTAGCATGTAAAGCTCGCCCGAGCCAAGCAAGAAAAGGAAATGCTGGTCGTAAATCATACTTACTTGGACGACTTTTGAGACCGCTAGCTTGCTTTCAATCGCGGAAAGATGTACTGTTTTATGAAACCGCATATGTAATTTGGGGTGCTTGGTCATTTCCCTGAAGTTGTTCTCTGCTTTCGGTTTGTTCTTGGAGAATTCAATGACTAAAATTTTCAGATCACTAGTAACACAAGTTAACATTTTGCCCGCATTGCCAGAGTTACTGAGGTCGTGAGCGATGATTCGATTATTGAAGGACCTTCTCCACACTATTCTGTCCGAATCAAATACATATTCCAAGCCACCTTGGCCATATTTGGACATGATTGTGTCCATAACAATGATTTCGTCTATTTCGGAACCATCATTATTGAACCTGTTGATAACCACAAGAAAATCGCTAAACCAAAAATGGCCGACGATATTCATTGTCGCAAGAAAGTGATTTTTGAAATTGAACCATATTATGTGATTCTTGTCACGATCTTTTCCGCATGGAGTTGAAATGGACAAATGCTCACCATAAGCAAGGGAAAATTGGTTAATGTCATTGCGACTGATTGTAAGATGACCAGAAGTCGATGTATGATTCTGCGTGTGAATGTTGATATGCTCCATTAGGCTGATGATGTTTTTAAATTTGGCAAGAATTGGGATCTTGTAAAGAGCTCCATTTGGGTCCAAATAGGAGATATAATTCTGATTATAGAAAAGCTCAGATTGTAGGTCAGGCTGTCTTAACAAATCAATGGAATAAAGTTTTGCGGAGTCGCTGTTGATCAATACTACTCGGGAAGCATTGGGAGTAACCATAATCTTGGATGCCTTTAAAAAGTCAGCGGATTCTTTTTTAGGATCATTGAGTTCGTTGGCAACATGCGATGATTCAAAAAGACGATTACCGAACTTGGATACGAGAGACCAAAAGTTGGTATCATGATCAAGAACGAAAAAGAATGTGCCACACGGTGACCATGCCACCGATGAGTTGGAGCCATCCAAAGCAACCGAGTGAAGTTTCACGAGTTTTTTCTCGATTGGTGAAAGTTTATAGATGTCCACTACCAGTTCCTGCTTTATGAGAACCAAATCGCATTGGGGATTGAACTGACATCGAATGCTTTCCACCTTTAAACTCATAACCCTTTCTGCAGAGACAAGCGTTTCTTCCTCCTGAAAGTCAAGTTGCATGAACCATACTTCGTTGTCAGCGTTGAGAAACAAAAAGTAATTGTCGAATTTGTTGAATGCAAGGTACTTTATGGCAGATCCTCCTTGATACCATTCAAAGTCTGACAACTCAAACATGTTGCTCTTGAAGGACTTCAAATCAACTATTTGGAAGTAGGCCCCCACAGAATCGGCCTCACGTTCGTTTTTATCATTATAAACCACTAGGTGATGCAAATTTGGAACGAGCCAAAAATTTGATATACCAAGCCCTATTTTGACAATTTTGAAAACCGAGATTTTAACAGGGTGAATCTCCGAGCCCCCCAACTCGTCCTCGATTGGTCTATTGTTGAAATGTTCTATGTTTTCTAAGTTGAGCGTGGCGGCGGATGAACCCAGTAAGATCGAGAGGGTTGCTGATTTCATCAACGATGAGAGAGAAAACTTCGAAGAGTTCAAGCTCAATGGAAGCCCTGATTGAATCACTTCATTTGTATCTCTGCTGGACAATTCGTATAAGGATTTCGAGTAATCTATTGAAACTTGGTAGATAATCAAGTAATTTGATTCGGTCTCCACAAAGAGATTTAACGTCGTAAGCTTTTGTAATTGGGCGGAGTTGATCCCCAAGTGCCTAATTTTGACCAGTTTATTTAGTCCATGCTTCTCTAAAGAATCTTCAGTTCGTAAATGCTTAGAAAGGAATATCAATGAATTTATGTCATAGATGAAAACTGTCGAATCTGTCAATATTATCAATAGAGACGTATGCGGTATTGCTAGTAATTGAAGAGGCTTCAGATCTGGAGAAACAATGGGTCCCAGAGCACTGGGTAGCGAATCTACCCAAGTCATAAACAGTTGCAAACAAGAAGTAACAAAGTGGCCGTATCGCGTAGCGAAAAGCAAAGATCAGGATGTAATCACTTCGAAGTATTATTCTGTAAAATACGGGCGTGTGGTCTAGTGGTATGATTCTCGCTTTGGGCTTGCTGGAAACAGCTGAGTTTGTGAGAGGCCCTGGGTTCAATTCCCAGCTCGCCCCAATTTTTTGAACCGAGAACTGAAGAATTAAGAATGAAGAATTAAGAATGAAGAATTAAGAATGAAGAATTAAGAATGAAGAATTAAGAAATGAAAGAATGAATGGCATGAGAGACTGATATTAGGACCTTGAGCAAAACAATTGATAAATCATTAAACTACATATTCATTTGTTTCTTCTTTTTTACCGCTTCTACATCATGCTAATATTTGTACATTAATGATGAAATATAACCCAAAATCTTAACGGTAAGACTTTTGGAATCTGGCTCTGGCACCACGACCACCGAACTTCTTTGGCTCCATTCTTCTGGAGTCAGCAACCAACAAAGTCTTGTCGTAAGATGCGAACACCTTCTTCAACTCGTTCTTGGAAGCCTCATCAACGTATTTTTGGTGGTAAGCAATCAAACCCTTGGCGATAGCTTGTCTGATGGCGTAAACCTGCGACACATGACCACCTCCAGACACTTTAACTCTGATGTCGATGTTTTGGAATTTGTCCAAGCCGACCAAAGTCAATGGCTCGTAAACCTTGAAACGCAAGATTTCTGGTTGCACCAAGGTGATTGGCGAACCGTTAACCTTGATCAAACCCTTACCGGCCTTAACGTGGGCAACGGCGGTGGCGCTCTTCTTCTTACCAAAAGTCTGAGTTAGTAAAAGATAATTATGAAGTCTTGAGTGGGGAACTGAGAATATGAATAAGTGGACAAATCTGATGTACAACTGAATCCATGAAGCAAATTTGGATGATTTCCACGATTCTATTTTCAATATTAAGGTTCGGATTATCGTATACGTGTCACTTGGTCATCATTTCATGGGTTTTTGATGTATTTCAATGTATGATTCAAATGAATTAACTGCCCTTATAACGAATATGATCCAAATTGCTCCAGGGATCTCAATCTACACTCATTCCATATGACGGTCTGCCTTACAGCTTTACCTCCACTTTTAAAATTGCACATACCTGTACTGATGGGGTGGACATTGTAGCTCTCTGGTAAAAAAATTTGTGAAAGTGAAAAACTGGCCGCGCCAAACTCCTGCATCTTGAGCGGACCGACAGTTACACACCGGCGGCGGTTACGCTGGCAGAGTGCACGTGAGACGTGACTGGCCCGCGGCGCGCGCAGCTGCAGTAAAATTTTCAAGATTACTTTTTTACCTTCTCAAGTGAACACATTAGAAAATGGCTATTGCAAAGAACTTACCATTGTTGAAGAACCACTTCAGAAAGCACTGGCAAGAAAGAGTGAAGGTTCACTTCGACCAGGCCGGAAAGAAGGCTTCCAGAAGACAATCGAGATTGGCCAAGGCTGCTAAGATCGCCCCAAGACCTCTCGACAGCTTGAGACCTGTGGTTAGAGCACCAACGATCAAATACAACAGAAAGGTCAGAGCCGGTAGAGGATTCACCTTGACCGAGTTGAAGGCTGTTGGTTTGACCCCAAAGTACGCTAGAACCGTTGGCATTTCTGTTGACCACAGAAGACAAAACAGAAGTCAAGAGACTTTCGAGACCAACGTTGCCAGATTGAAAGAGTACTTGAGCAAGTTGGTTGTCTTTGACAAGAAGACCAAGGCTTCTGAGGCTACTCAGCATGAGCAAATTTCTGTTGCTGCCACCTTCCCTATCGAACAGGCTGCTCCCGAATCTGCTCCAAGAGCCGTTGAGAAGACCGAAGAGTCTGCTTACAGAACCTTAAGATTGGCCAGATCTGACAAGAAGTACAAGGGTATCAGAGAGAAGCGTGCCAAGGAGAAGGCCGAGGCTGAAGCTGACAAGAAGAAGAAATAAACTATCTAGTCTAATATCATGTAACTCAAGAACTGGACAAAAGCTGTAGGGACCATGCTCAAAGTGACAGGGCCACTAGTTATGGTGACTTAATGCCTGCAATATGAACCTAGTTCTATGCCAATTCTTCACTTTACCAGTACTTCGAATCTTTAACTGCTCTAGGACCTTAACCTTTTCATCTGTACTTTTCTACACTGCGTACTAGCATCCGTTTATTACATGATCTAATCGAACAATCCGAAACCCATGTCGTCATCAGACTCCTCCTTCTCTTCTTCCTTCTTCTCTTCAGCAGCAGCTTCTTCGGTAGCACCTCCAGCAGCGGCAGCAGCAGGGGCAGAACCAGCAGCAGGAGCAGCTTGGATGTTGAAAAGGTAGTCCTTAGGGTCCTTACCCTCCAAAGCACCAGCAAAAATATCAGCCCAGATGGACTCGACCTCAACGTTGGCCTTGGTGACCAACTGGAACAATTTTTCCGAGGAGATTTCGATATCGGAATCGGCCAAAATCAAGGCAGCATAGGACAATGCGGATTCAACTGACATTCTAACTAGAGATAATCAATTTAAGCTCAAGTTTGCAGACTATTCTTAGTTACGATGAGTTTGAAAAGTTTGAAATTTTCTCGACGGCGCGCGCACCCAGGGCGCTGCCCCGATAGTTGACACGTGATCGCCCGTATACAGTTCCCATAGTCCCGTTGTTGTAAATGGTGCTAACTGTAATGTTTGCTATCGTTTATTCATTATAATCCGTCTCTAATAGCACAGTACTGGATATACCATGGTTTTGTCCAGACCCTAATTCTCTTTCCGTAGTAGATGAATATACCTGCTGACATCATAATGATAAATTCAATCACCGCCAAGATAATAAAAGTGTGAGTATTCCCCATAGCATCTAGCCAAGGAGAGCAAGCGAAAGTAAAGATACAGCCACACATATTGTTAATGACAGCAACACCACACATCATCTCAATGACCATTTCTGGATAAGCATCCATCAAATATGACATGGAAACATCACCAGAAGCACCAAAGCCCAAACCAATGAAGCCCAATCCAACGTATGTAGGAACCCAATTCCAAACCTGATCTGTTCCTACTGCAAATAATATAAGTCCAATGGGAGCAATGATTCCAGGAATGAAGAGAAACCACAATCTGAATTCTGCTTCTTGTATACCACCATTCTTTTTGGCCAACCAAATAGAGAACCAATCACTAACAATACCGGCGTATACACATCCGATAATTGCACCGATTAAGCATGGTACGTTCATAAGAGCAACTCCCACATCTCCATAATTATAAGGTGGGTCGTAGTATTGATCGTCCTCCACTGTGAGGTAGAAAGTGAGTAAGGCATCTTGGAAACCCCACACAAGTCCAGAGTAAATCACAGGAGGATAAAGAAAGACTTTGAACAGGTGAGCCAACTGACGAATATACTGACGGAACCCAGTTCCACGTAAGTTTTCGGCAGGAGTGATGAGTTTAATTCGTTGCCAATATGATTTTCGAACATTATCGGCAACCTCTACCGAGTCTTCATAATCCACAGATATGCGCTTTTCGGAGAACGGAGATTTTTGTGCCACGAGTGCATCGTGTGCCTGTTTCTCTTCGACCATATGTGATGGATTTATATGGCTCTTACGGTCATATACGGTTTCGTCCGCACCAAAGACAATCACCGTTAACAAGCCGGTGGAAATAAATACGGCAATCCAGCCAACCCAACGAAATCCGACATACTCCACAATAAATCCTGCAATCAAAGGACCAAGGTAGGTACCCACCGAGGTAGCCAAGATATAAATTGTCAATACTGTACCCAATTGATGTTGAAAGTACATGTCACTTAACGATAATTGAACCTGAGCTTCAGCACAGCTTTCTGAGATACCAACAAACAATTGTGACCATATGGTGTCTGTGGTATCTTTACTAAGAGCAAACCATACTGCTCCCAAAAGTCCGAGAAATATACAGATCAAGTAGGTAATTTTTCTACCGTACAAGTTGGCACAAGGAGCTAAGAAGATGGTTCCCCATCCAATACCAATGAACAACACACCGGCGCCGGTGTTCATGGAGTCGTAAGTAATGCCGTAGAGTTGGTTCAATGAGTCTTGAATTGCGCCAGCATCGTTTGAAGTAGCAGCAGTGAATCCTGTAATAAAAGCAAGAACGGCAAGATTCCACAATTTTCTTAGTCTGCTCCAGTTAAGTGGATCATTTGGAGAGTCCGAAGGTTGAGGAACGAGAATAATGTTGCCGGAAGTCTTGAGATTTCGGTCTTGAGTTCGGGAATGTTTGACACTTAATTCATTATCATCCTTGATTTCAAACGCATAGATATTGAGGGTACCAGGGATGTACGAGTCCTCGTTAACAGAATCGAAATCAGGATCCATTTCCCTTGGTGTTTCAAGTGTCACCGCCAGTATATATTTCCCACCTCGAAATCGACGAACGCTTCTGCCTTCCAAATAAAGATAAGGTGCGGCTCACGAAAGACGATAAGGGTTGGGGATCGGCTTCCGGGCGGGGTCGTTCATGGAGCAGAAAGGGCTGAGAAACCTCGTATAGTATTAGGTGGTCATGGAGGGCTGTGCCCAGGAACCTTAGCGGCCAAAACTGTACGGAAGACGTCAAAATTGTAGACTCACACGAGATGTCAAACCTGTCAAATGTGTCAAGTTGCGTGCGAATTCGGCTAACAAAAAGCAGGGTCAGGATATGCGGAAGTTCAGCAACTACCAAGTACAGATGACAACAATTACTGGAAGACAAACAATTATTTTGCTCCTTGGAAAGACCAAGTTATACTGTGAAGATCGAATATCAAATCGTAACCCGCACTAAATCAAGAAAGTGTATGCGATGATTATCTCATGTAAAGGTGGCTGCAACGACCAACAATGGCACTTAAGACCCAAAGCTGACGCGGCTCAGCGATACCCCAGATCATACGCGATAGGCGCTCGCCTTTTGACAAGCGGCAGTACCTGTGTGCACGTAATCAATCGCGGCTTGGAGGAAAAAGGTGGATCAGGATGGTATCGGTGAATGTCGGTATGCGTTGGTATTGAACATGTGATGCAGATATTAAGTTAGCAGTAATTGTGAGCCATACAAGATTGGTCAACTTGTCAAACAGTGCAATGTTTACATGGTACTGAGTAA